TTTGTGCATCCTCCACTACACATTAGCTCGGCTATCATGTTGACCAATCAACACTTCCCATGAAACCCAAGAACAAAAAGAGAGTTAACTCAAAGGCAATTGTATAACCTCATCAAACCACAAGCGTAGCAAAAAGGTCATGATTCTGTCGCGAATCCAGACTGAACTCGGACTTGGTAAATAATATCATTTGAGCTCGGTAAAATGATGAACGAGCTCATATCTTTGGTTAGATTATCGTAAATCATCCGAGATCCTTAAAACCCATGTTTAAGGGTTTTCATTGACATTAAACCTATCCATTGACGGCTAGCCTAACTGCCTCTAATCAAGCCTTGATGTGCACATAATGAGAGATCCATCATTCATCAAGAGGCCAATTTAGGCATCTGAGGGGCTGCAGAGAACAGCAATTTTTCTTTACTATGACCCTTTTTCCCTTACTTTCAAGCCATTCATAATAGAAGAATAATGTTAATTTGTCTAGAAGATTCCTTTTTTTCGGTTTGTGGGTTTTCGAGGGGTAGGGGGGTGGTGGGCGTTCTCCAACCATTGCATCTTGCTTCCAAATGATCTCAATCTCAAGTTTACCGTACATAACCAGAAACTCATCCAGCTTGAACATTCGGTTTGACTGACAAAAAAAAACACATCACCTTATGATCTTATGCTTTCACAAAAAGTAAAATGATGGTTTGACCTAATTAGGGCTAGAAATATAATTTACTATGTGTAATTAACAACAAATCAAACGGTATTAGCAGTTGGATAGAAAAATTGATGGGGGTACTAATTCGTAATAACTAATAAAATTTCAATGATTTTAGGGGCAAATTTAAAAATATTAAAGATGGAAGGGACCAATATGTAATAATAATAATAATAATAATAATAATAATATCTCTAAAGGGTGGCATTACAGTCATACCACACCCCTCTTTCACTACAGTGCTGCGGGCCCACATGAGAATTAAAAAAAATATATAATGTGAGCCCTAATGCTCTAGCATTTTCCATCCCTAAACCCTTTCCCCATTTCTACGCTCCTCAACTAGAGAAACCATCTTCCTTCTTCCATTTTTTTATAGGGTTTCTGCAATCAAAAAATGAGCGCGAAACGGCCTCCACCGGATCCGATCGCCGTCCTCCGTGGCCACCGCGCCTCCGTCATGGACGCATGCTTCCACTCCTCGAGACCTCTTCTCTTCACTGGGTAAATCATTGTCTAATCCAATCTCAATCCGACCCAGTCTCTCTTTCTTCTTCTTCTTCTTCTTCTTCTTTTTTTCCCCTCAGAAAAACCCTACTTTGTTGCTTCCAGCGCTGCCGATGGAGAACTTCGAGTTTGGGATACGGTGCAGCATCGAACACTGTCCTCGACTTGGTACTCAACCCTCTTCTCAATTGCTTTGATTTTCTTGATGGTTTTTTTATGGTTAATTGCACTTTAACACCCCAAAGTTTAATCTTTTTTGAATTTTGGCGATACCCTGAAGTTCTATTTTAATAATTTGATACCCCCATAGTGGAAAATAGTTGATGTTGATTTTGTTAAAGGATATCAACTAAGGAAAGTGAATGGGAAACAAATTTTCTTAGCAAATTGATGTTTTTTTGAGTTTGGAGAAAGTGAGGAACCGAGTTAGGTCTTTGATGTATCAAATTGTCAAACTAATCTCAATTTGGCAGCTTTTGGGTATTGAAGTGCAAATGGCCCTTTTAACTATATACCCCCCAAATCGACAGTGTTTGTAAGTTTACCCTAAGTCTGGACAAGTTTTAATTTACTCCTCAATTCTACTACATCGAGTTAAAATACCCAGTCTTAAGTTTGTTCCCGAAGAGCTTCTCTTGCCGCTCTTTTGCGATAAGCAGATAACCTTTCATGATTTGTATTTCGTTTGGTTAAGGGCATGTGTCTCATGTTTGTTAGAATTTGTGTTGAAATTGGACCCTTTTCTTTTCTTTTTTTTTTCTTTTTTTTGGTTAGGGCTCATGGTGGAGCTTCTGGCGTGTATTCTGTTGCTACCAATTCTTCTATTGGGGACCGAGTTGTCAGGTGCACAAATTGGTTTATTCCCTTATTGTATTTTAGGCGTGGGTAGGGAATTATTTATGTGACTTCTTTGAGGAAAATTTATGGGAGTGCTTGTTATGGATGCAGTCAAGGCCGAGATGGGACCTGTAAATTGTGGGAGGTTGAAGAAAGTGGCCTGTCAAGGTTTGAGTTCTGTATTTTTTGGTTCCTTTATCCTCGATGTCGAATTTTCGGTATATGTTCTTGAGCTATTATTTTTTGGCATCAGAAAGCCGTTGCTTGCATTTAGGACGAGTGCATATCATTTTTGCAAGCTTTCGTTGGTGAAAAATCCAACGGTTGAAGTTGAAAAACCAGAGAAGGATATTGATTCTGAAGAAAGAGGCACCTTGGTGTCTGACGGAGGGAGTGGAAACACCTCTACGACTCCAATTGGAGGTTAGAACGTTTAAGCTGTTCTTTCATTTTAGCATATTTACATTCTGTAGAAGTAAATAGTAAATAAAGAACTGATTCAAAGTAAATCAAGTACAAGATAGACAAGTTCTTCAGAAAGGGACAGCTCCCTATTTATTTGGGGATCTTTTAAACTCTTGATTAATTCAAAATTTCCCTTCAATGCACGTCTTACAAGAACTTATCTTCAACAACTCACTGAATTATGAATCTGCTTGTCCATCTAGGGGGTTAGGACTAGTTAAATTCTAAATTTGGATGCGTAAGGCTAACAGCAATTGTCAGATAAAGTTAGAGTAGTTATTTTAGTTTCCTTTCTATTTAGATTTCCATATGGTGTGTTAGAGAATAAAATAATTCACTTAGTCCTAAACACATCTTCAGACTTTTGATCCAATCATATGGACATTAAGGTGTTATCAAACCTACCTAGCAGGCACTTTTAGCGGATTAACGGGTATATAAGTCTTGAAATCCTATGTTCCTTCCATTGCTGTTACCCTGGTGGATATTCTCACCATTGCACTGTAGGATAACTATGTGCTAATATCTGGAACCCTGCTTTATGACAAGTATTAATTTTGTACCATGTACAAAAAAATGATGTCGAAGGTCATGATTTCTTATAACATTGTTAAACCAATCAAATCATGTTGTCTCTAGGCTTATCCTTCTCTTTCTAGAAAGTAAAAATATATTCATCATTGATGCATGGATTAATAAGAACAACGTAAAAACAAAGCCTTTTCTGGAGAATTTTAGGTGGCAACATGAGTCTTCTTTTATTCAGTTCTAATAACGAGTATCGCCACTACCCTTCCTAGTTTCCATTCAAGTTCTCTTAGCTCCAGTTCTGGCCCTTCTTGTTTCATAAAATAATAATCCAATCACTTCTCCTCACTAGTCAATTTACTAGCCATTCTTCCACAAGGCCAAACCATATTAATTGATTTTCTCTCGTTTTAATTTTATACTTCAAAGAAAAGAACTCTATAAAGTTCTTGCAAATGCACTCATTTATTTTTCTATTTCTTATTGTATTTCCAATCGTTCATTGTAGCATTTTCATTTTTGCTACAATGGATTTTGGACATGTTTCTTCAATGTGCAACATTTTGATCTGTAAATATTTCTGGTCTTACAGCCGCCTTATACACTTTAATATATATCGTAGGACTGCATAGGCTCTTAAAGCACTTTTCCACACCACTTCTTTGATTTGATGAACAACATATTTCTCAATCTCATCATTTTGATGAATGATGATCCTAAGTAGTGCAAATGATCACTTCAAGGTATTCTCAACCTCATCTTGATTCTTCTCAAATTCGGCTAAAAGCCTAAAACTACATTCTATATATATATATATATATATATATATATATATATATATATATATATATATATA